GAACTTCCCGTACCGTAACGAAATGTTCGAGGATATTGAATGTTTTCAAATAGATTATTATTAATATTGTAACATTGTCTAATATTTATAAGAATTATATAAACTGAATTGCAGAGTTGAAATTATTTGTTTAAAGTATATTAGAACTATAGCTAGAATTAAAAATAAAATCTGGATTATTTTTTATATACAAAAAATTTTTTACAAAGGATTTTTTTTTCCAAAATTAATTATTTGTTAAGACAAGCAGAAAGTTCTTTGAATCATTTAAATCGGACGCTAGTTCTCTCAAAAACTGCCATTTTTTACATATTTAGCTCCGTATCTTCGAAATGGCTGGGCCTGCCTTTGCCAAAAAACTAAAAACACTTCTCCCATCATTACTAATTGAATGTTTTTTAGATCATTCAAATCGGATACGCTGTTCTCTCAAAAAGTCGATTTCTATTTTCTGCACTCTTTGCTCCGTATCTCCGAAACGGCGGGACCTGCCTTTGCCAAAAACTAATCAGCTCTTTTCCCTATCAATAGGAATCGGATGTTTTTTGAACCATTCAAATCGGTTGATCCGTGCGCCCGAAAACGTGACTGGAAATTTGTATCCATACATACATACACACACACACATCCATTTTTCTGAGGTATGCCAAAACGTTCAGAAACCTTCAAAACGTCGAGAAATGTAAAAATTTTCAATTCCGATTTCGGCCCATTACAATAACTTACCCTACGGGAAGTTAATAACAATAAAAAAAAGTTCAATCTTTAATCTCCTAGTTAATGATGTCCATTCTACATCTGTTTTTTGATAGAAGATCAATATTTTACAACTATTAAATCATTTTTTTATCTTTAGTATCCTTACAGCGTAAAGAAATTTGGCAAGTCTTCAAATAGCCACCAAATTTGGTTTTTACAAGTGCAACCACATCCACAACTACTTGACCACAAATTGAATGCTTACTTACACATTTTTATAAAAATGAATTATATTTTTAATTACTTCTTAGTTCTATTTATAATTATATTGTATATGACCTTATACTATAGATAGTATAATATAAATAAATAGATATTAACATGCTCTATTGTGGACCCCCATTTTCATTTTGTGGAGCCCGAAATTTTATTTTTAGGTGTCCATGTGGACTACTTTAGGATTCATTGATCTCTAGATATAGACGAGTTAATAAATAAACAGGAAAAATTAGAAAGTCTTTAGAAACAGCTCTGATTTTGTTCATTTTTTAAATAAAAACAAATACTGTTGGTGTATAGAATCGTTCCTTAAGGCAAATTGCTGGAACTTCCCGTACTGAAAATTGTAGTTTTAAAAAAATCTTTAAATTTTTTTGAAAACTTCGGAAAAAATGAGTTTTTCGAGAATTTTGAAATATTTGAAAAAATTTGACCTTTTTGAAAAATTTGATTTTTTTTTATATTTCGAATTTGTTTTTTATACTTTGAATTTTTCTGAAAATTTAGAATCTTGTTTCAAAACAATCGTCTAATGATCATTTTTGACCGCGAAATGGCATTTTTTTACTTTTTTCACTATATCTCTGAAACCACTAGACATGCCTTCGCAAAAATTTATCATTTTGTCAAAACAAATAAAATGTTTTTTGAATTATTCAAATCGGTTGATCCGTGTTCCCTAAATCGTCGACGAAAATTTGTGTCCGTACAAACACACACACATCCATTTTTTCTAAGGTATGCCGAAATGTTCGGAAACCTCTGAAACGTAAATATATTTAAAAATTTTCATTTTCGATTTTTTTGCAATTACTATAACTTGCCATACGGGAAGTCGAATAATAATTTAATTCAAAGAACACCCAAAAACTTATCTTCTTGTATAAATAACAAACATCTTGTATAAAAAAAAATTTTACTTCAGGAAATATTTTTGATTTTGAATAATAATATTTAAAAAAATATAAAAATCATGAAAAATGAACAAAATCGGAGTTTTATTGGTTCGATTAATATAGTAAAACCCTGTTAAGACGATTTTTCAGGATTTTCGGGCGATATAGGGAAAATAAATTAAGATATTTTTATAAATTTACTTTTACTTTTTTATTTATTAATCTTGATTGAAAATGAAATATTTAATGAAAGCAATTAAATTTGATATATTTATTTGTTTTCAGGGTAAAAAGTACTATCACGCAGTTCGAGTCTTAAGCTAGAAATAATAAATGGCACAAATTTCTGGAAATTTGGATTAAGATATTTAACTTTATTTGATGTGGATATCAAATTATTTATGTAACCAGGTATTTGACAAATTTAGTATTGCATCGAGGATTTATCAAAAGAACTTAATTATCAACTCAAAAACTATTGAGATTATGTTAAACAATTTTGAGCTACTTTTCCTCATCATTTCAATTTCGATGTTGTCAAATACCTTTATGCACTCATTAATTTACCATTTGAAAAGTGCTAGTACATTTCTACCAAAAACACGAGGAAAGAGGTAAGACATTTTAGTGTTTTTCAAACTTAACTATTAAGTAGATTAATAAAAGATTCTAAATTCAACTGAAATTAATACTAGTTACCTTATGATTTCTGTAAATAATAATATATATGAGAGTTTGTACAAAAAGCAAAAGATTATTAGATTAATTAATACTACTTGCATGTGTAATTGTATTATTTATGATGATAACGACGATGATGATGATGATATGAAGCCATGTGATTTTAATGAGAATAAATTTGAATTTGCAAATTGTAGTTGATGATGTTCAATGGTTTATATATTTTTTTAGTTTGATTTTATTATGTATTTCAGGAATTATAAATCCATATAAATGAAATTCGTTTTGCTTTCTTGTTAAATTTTATTAAATATTGCATATTATTATATAAATAATATTATGTGATTGTTCATAAATGTATCCTTACACATTATGGCTGCGAGAAAGTGTATGGACACATAATGATACATATATTTAGAGGATCATTTTGTTTATCGAGTATCTGATGATTAAAAATACAGATTTTAACATTAAAAACAATTAATTGTAACTAATTGAATTATTAAGTAAAGAGAAATACATTTAAAACATTTAATTAGGGGAAGTTAAAATTATATAAATATATTTTTAATAGAATAACTCGAAGATTTAAATAAACTATTAATTATTTTTGCCTAAGTAATCTTTGTATAAATAATCTTGTGATTTAGATACTCGATGTAAACATATATTTATATAAACAATATAAATCACAACACTTTAATGAAATACTTTTCATGAACAATTATTTCAATTATATAAATTTATATAAAGTTCTTATAACATTGTCTATGTGCAAAGCATAAGCAAAATTATTTAAAAAATTATATTGCATATAACTTATCAACAAATTATAAAATAACTTATAAAATATATTATAAATGCATAAATAATCACAGAAAAGTAAAAATTGGAATGACTAGAACTACAAATTTATTCAAAATCAAAATTTGATTTAGTTGTAAAAGATTTAGATGTAAAAAAAACATGTGCAACTAGATTTTTGATATTAAATGAAGTTCTAAATAAATAAAATACCAATATATATTATAAACTTATAAAATACATTAAAAAAGTATAAGAAAAGCCACAAAAGAATACAATGTGGAATGACTAGGACCTTATCACAGAGTAAAACTAAGAGATAAATAAATTTTAAATCTAAATTGAAAAATAAATAAGGATGCCTAACCAAAATCTAGCAAGACACTCAAAGGTAATCCACATACAATAATAATACCAAAATCAATATTAATAACATTTTCTATCTTCAAATTATAATCAGGTGATCCTTCTCATCAAGTCCGATGGCTGCACTCTGAAGATTCCATTAAAGAGTCTGGATTGGACAAAGGATCCAAATCCGAGAACAGTTTCAACCAGTTTGACATAGAAGAAGTCTTCTGTTTATTTTGATCATGCTTTGTGGATTTTGCTGATGATTGATTTGGTGCATTTGATGAATTGGACAAAATTCGAGAAAGAATATCATCATTCAACTCATCTGAGGCGGAATTTGGTGGATCCATGAGATTTCCTGGACTGGTGGATAGTAGACTCTGGAAATAAAATGTAAGTTAACTATAAATATAATCGTGGTTGTATGTGGAAACTTACCTCAAAAAAATCAGTAGTCATGTTATCATGTTGTAACTTTTGGTCTTCTTGTTTTCCTTCTAGTAGTCCAAGTAAATCAAAGTTTATACTTGTCTCATTTGATGTGTTAATTATATCAGATGTGATGCCCAATAGATCTTCAGCTTGTTTCGAAAAGCAGTTTTCATTAATAAGGTTTTCAGATTGTTTTATGTTGCCATTGTTTGGTGTTTCGTTTTTGACTTCATCTGTGTATTCGTCCTGGCAAACAAAATATGGTTATACAAGAAAAAAGTAATTGTATTTAAAGTAGTTGCTTTCTATTTTTTTACCTGGAAAAACAGCAACTGATCATCATCAGCAAATTTCTCCTTCTCATCGCTCTTTTCCTCAATTTCAGTCTCCTCCGGTGTTTCTTTTAATTCTTTCAAAACACAAAAATCATATTTTGGTTCTGAATTCAAACTTATCAATGCAGAATGTAAGGTTTGTGAGCACTTTGAGAAAAAAGTGAGTAGAGATGATTGATAGGGTATCAGGGCGTGAGAGAACATATTGCAGCGAGCTGCTGCAAGCAGATCTACTTTTTCTAAACAATCTAGAGTCAGGCGGTCAAAACGGATCTTGGATTGTCTGGTTTGATTCTGAGCCTTGAAAAATAAAATAATTGTTGGAATATTAGTATAATGATTCATGATTTATGAATAATATAATAAACAACTTCAAGAATGCATTGTTAAATGCAATTTTGTTATTCAACAAATTCCAATGACTAATTGAAGGTCTTCATATAATTTTGTTTACTAATTAGCTTATAAAATCAATATTTTAAATACCAATACAATTACTTACAACATTTATTATTACCTTTCGAAATTTTTCCAGTCCACGTCCAGTATCAGGATCTAGTTGAGCACTAACAGCTTTCATCCATTTCAAATCAGCCCTGTATTCAGTTCTCGCCCTCTCCATAGCACCTAGAGTACTCCGAGTATCCTGGACAGCTCTTGCTTTAAAGGTATCGACTTCTTGATGCAATCTCATGAGGGGATCCCTCAGTTGCATCCTTTGCTGGCCTTGGTAACATAAAGCTTTACCTAAAAATAACAAAAATCAATTGTGGAAATGATAATGGTGGAATGTACTTCCTTTACCTGATGAAGACATATGCTTCCCGACACTCTCATGACTTTTGGAGGCTTCTTTCAGAAAATACCCTAAAGAATTCTCTTCCTGGGCTAGAACACATAGCCTTTCCTGGTATTGTTCAAGTACTCTTTGTAAAACCGAGCAGCTCTCGGCGATTGAACGAAATAGTTCTAATTTTGCGTCCAATTCAGCGTCTGATGCGACGATGCATTCATCTTCTTTGCCGCCGAGTTTACGAAGGACGGTCTGTTTGGTCACCCAATATTGATGCTGCATATCCATTAAGGACATTTTAGAAGGATTTGTTTTGTTTACAATTTATAAAAATAAATATCACAACAATTTGGATGACATTTGTGTATTGTAAATGTCATTGTATGAAAGTGACAGCTGAAACTTGTGGGTTGGTGAACCTGTATGATTGGTCCAGGCGTTGTAAAAGGATAATCGAATATTTTAATTAATATGTTAATGGAACTAGAAATATTATGTTATTATATAACATTGAATTATTAAAAAAAAAAAAAAAAAATGAAAACATATCTTATCATTTTCAGGTAAAAAAGATTCAGAAAACAATTACCATTTCTATGGTGCTTTGGTTATGTACACACTTTGACAACCTTTCAATTCCAATTATCCTTTTGCCTGTTGGTACCCCTCGGCCGTGTGCATTGAACTCGTTTCACGGCTTCTGTCCCCTACTTCGCTCCGAATACAAAACGTAATGGCCGCGTCGGATCTCAATCAGTTTTGTTGCTAAAACAAAAAAAATAAATACACAAGTTATGTATGTTTTAATTAGGTGAAAGTGCTCCCCAGTGTTAAATTCAGGTGCTCCGGTGATTCTGCCACTATGTACTGCTCCGTGGAGAGCGCCCAGCAGACAAAAAATCCGGTCAAAGAGGGTAAGTCTAGAATTTTTAATGCTAATACTTATGGGGGGTATTGTCAAAAGAATTTGGGGCAGCAGAAAGGAATTGATATGATGTGATTAATTATTTATGGGGGTTGTTTTGGGTCAAAAAGTTTGTTGAAGATTTTGCATGCGGTGTTCATGCGTTTTTGAATGAAATATGAGATGTTGGGAAAAGTGTTGACATGTACATTTTTGTAAAGAACAATTACATTTGTTGATTGAATACAAAGTCAGTGATTATTTGAAAAATGTTATTATTCGTGCCTTCCTGTCTGCATTTTTTAAAGTATGATGTATGTAGGGTGAAATAATCAAATAATCTTTCATATATCTTTAGGCATTTAGATTTGTTATTATGTTTCCTAGGGTCCTCATAATTTTCATAAGATTCTGTTTGAGTTGCAAAAACTTCATAAATAATTTTACTTTAATTATAGAAATTTGCTTTATTATATTTAGCAGTATATAAATTACCAGAAAATTTCATTCAAAGTGCATTAAATTAAATTTTTATTGTAAACATATATTTTTTCAAAGTTTTGTAGACAGATAATTTTTATTTGTTTCTAAATATCCCTTTATTGTCTTTCATGTCCAAAATTTTTACTAAAATTTATACAACAAATTGTACCTATTTTCTCTATAAAACTTGTAAATTTGTGGAAATTCTATACATTTTGCTGTAATGTTTCCAAATATTGTATGAAATGTATTTGCTTATTCATTTTACAATATTATCTTCCATAATTTTTATAGAATATAAAATTATTATCATTTAAATTCTTTCACCTTTTTCCAATATAAAATTCTTTCATTTTAGAGGGAGATTATAAGCTCATTAAAAAATATTAATACTGATATGCAAAAATTGTGAAAATTTAAAATTAATTTATTATCAAAGTTAGAGAATGGTCCAGGATCATTTAGACTAGTTTTTATTGAAGTTCCATTATTTTTCCAAAAATTGTATAAGAAATTTACACATTTCTTTATCTTTATACATATTTATGATTTAAATTCTATTACCTTTATAGAATATAAAATTGTGCCACATTTATAGAGATGATAATATTATATCATATTTATAAAATATAATATTCTATAATAGTCCAAGTCTTGATAAAAAAAATCATTAGAGCTTTTTTGGATTATTTCAATAAAAAAATTGGTCTTATTTTATCAAAATTTATAAAACTATATCAAAATTCCCAAAATTTTATTTTCACTTGGAAACTTATTTGGGTCAAGTTAAAAGTGATATTCATACTGCTTGATATCAGGTTGGTCGTAGAGAGGAATTTTTACCTGTTACTTTGTGGGTGCTCTTCAGGACTATCCAAAGAAATTAAAAAATCTAGGAAAACTGATGAGTTTGTCATTATTTTCAATAGGAAACATATTTGGCTCAATATTTTCAAGTTAAAACTGATATTTCTACTGCTTGATATCAGGTTGGTCGTAGAGAGGGATTTGTACTGGTAACTTTGTGGTCGCAAGAAAGAGGTTTTTCAGGATCATTGAGCTTTTTTTCCTGTCCTCACCTGTTGAGATGGCATTCATTGATTTTTCAGTAACCAAATAGACTATTTCTTCTTCTTGAAAATATATTAGGGACGATTTTTTTTAAAATTTTAACCTTCTGGTTGTAAGGTAGATGCTCTTCAGTACTGTCCTGGTTCTATTAATTATCATCTAGTCTTAATATTATTATCATATCGTTACAATATATCCATTTTATGATAAAACATTCATTGATTTACCAATAACCCGAAAGACTTGAAAATTATCTTGAAAATATATTAGGGACAATATCTGGTTGGTAGTAGAGAAGGATTTCTACTGGTAAACTTTTGGTTGCAAGGACCATTGAGTCTTTTTTCTGTCTTGTCCTGTTACGATGACATGCATTGATTTTCCAATAACCCAAAAGACTATATCTTCCTCTTGAAAATATATAAGGAACATTTATTTTCTCATATCCCTACTGCTTGATATTTGTTCGGACATAGAGAGGGATTTCTACTGTCTACTGGTAACCTTTTGGTTGCAAGGTAGAGGTTCTTCAGCACCATTAAGCCTTTCTTCTGTACTCATCATCTTGTCCTAATGTTATTATTATCATATCATTACAATATTTCCATATTACAAAGACATTTATTGATTTACCAATAACCAAAAATACTATTTTCTCTTGAAAATAAATTAGAGACAATATTTTCTCATATCCCTATTGCTTAATATCTGGTTGGTCGTAGAGAGAGATTTTTACTGGTAAGTTACAGGTTTGTTCTTTTATTTGTGGCTTCTAGGGCTTAAAACTCTTTTTTTTTAAGTTTGAGTAGAGGAAGTTACTTCTTCAAGAAGACGTCACACTGATTTAAATTAATATATACACTGGTATTAAAATCTAAAATAATATATATAAAACCTTTCTGGGAACCATTGCAGACTAATAGGATATCAAATGCTATTGAACCGATATGATTTCAAGAATCAAAACGCTTTCAACTATCTTTTATATTTGGCTATATTTGACATTTTCCATTTATACAGTGAAAACCGACTTTTTTCACTAAAAAACCGGTTTTCGAATTGCATAATTTTTGCCAAAAAACGGTTTTGAAAACCGGTTTTTGAAAACCGACAAACCCTACTCGTAACCTTGTGGTTCTAAGGAAGAGGTTCTTCAGGACCATTGAGCCTTTCTTCTGTCCTGGTTCCATTAATTATCATCTTGTCTTGATATTATTATTATCATATGGTTTTCTTATCATTCGAAAATATAGAAAAATGTCGCTATCACAAGTGTGTACACATTTGTGAACGAGGAGGAGGAATTATGCAAACAAAACTCTGTCGTCTTTGTCGTCGTCGTCGGTGTTTACTAAAAATTTTGTGCTAATTCGGCGTTTATTCTCGGACAATTGTTTATTTTATAGTTTAAGCGAAACCATTCGCACATACATATTTCAATGTATTAAATAAATATGCATTGTGACACGTGAAATGAATTAATGATATCAAACGTGACGGCGGCAACCGAATTCGTAAAATTGGGAGATAGATTGTATAAGCATTTTGCACATCTGTGACAAAATTTAGTCCTTAGAAGTTTTTTAAGATCTTTAGGAGTTTACACTACAATAATGAAACAAGATTCTGCAAATTGTCTATGATTATTTTGGATCATTTTTCCTGTTAGCGTCTGTATAATCGTTCGTTTGTCATTTACACTTATAATGATTAGTTCTATTAAATTCTTCTAATATTATATCATCATCATATTGATATGATATGAAGAGATGAAAAAGAGGATGTGTTGGATAGATTAGATATACTGCAACTGTTTGAGTTTAAATTTTATCGCATTTTTCTCTATATCGAGTGCATGACGATAGTCACGACATCAATTCCTAGTACAATATTATATATTGGATAATTTTAAGTGGTTTTGGAACAACGATTAGTACTCTCAAACCAGGAGTATCAACAGCTCACTAAACATATTAAATATATAATGATGCTGATAAAAAGCCACTTGTAAAATTTAGAGCTTCTAAATGGAACTTGACAAAAGAAAATGTACTATAAGCATCAGGTAACTGCAGCAATAAAAATACACTAATCGAGTCATCAATTGCAGCCTATGATTTACTCTACTGATTTTAAGTTGTTTTTATTTTTGCTCTTACCGAAGGTATACCTGTAGTATAAAAGCACAGAATTCAATTTACACCTGTTCTCTATATTATAGATTTGTACTTTTCAAATTTTTGCTACAATACTTTTTTGAACACCTAATTGCTTTTTACTCAATTTTTAATTTCTACTATTATATCTTCTAAGATACCATTTACTAAAAATGAGTTCAACACGGTTTTTCTTGGATAGTATATTTCTTTTTTCTCGTATGCCCTTATTTACTGCCTCATCGATCCTTTAATTCTCTTCTTTTCTAGATCCCATGTCTCTGATCCATAAGGAGTCGTACTCTAAATATAATAATTTCTCTTGGACAGTAGATTTCTTTATTTTTGAAGGTCCTTATTTAGCCTCATCGATTCTTTAATTCTCTTCTTCTTTAGAGTCCATATCTCTGATCCATAAGTAGTCATACTCTAAATATAGTAATTTATCAGATTATCAGATTTTCTTTTAAATTATTGTGTGAGAAAATTTTAATATTGTCTCCCACTTGGGTTTGATTCAATCTCTTAATTTGTACTTTCAATTTATAAATGGAATTTAAAGGATGATTAACGAATATTGTTTTATTACGTTCACATTTTTGCATTAGTATTTGTAATTTTTAAATTTTTCCTTTTTTGAAATTTTTGCGCATCTTCACTTTTCAAGACCTCCTGAATATTTTCGCATACCTTAGAACAAATGGATTGATGTATATATATATGTACAGATACAATTTTTCATCGACGATTTTTAGAAACACGGTTCAACCGATTTGAATAATTCAACAAACATTCGATTTCTATCGATAAGGAGACGTGCTGATTAGTTTTTGGTCAAGGCAGATCCAGCCGTTTCGGAGATACGGGGCAAAAATGCCACTAATGGTTATACAGTTTATGAGATACGGAGCGTCCGATTTGAATGATTCAGCAAACATTTTATTTGTATTGACAAGATGAAGATCTGGAACAATTTTTGGGAAGCCAGATAAGGTAAAAAAGGTTCCATTTGGAGTTCAAAAACGATTAGTAGACATATGCACATGAAATTAGCTTCAATATTAGGTCTCTACGCAGCGTGATTGTTTTGAAAGTAAGTTCAAAATTTTCAAAGATTTTTAAAATATAAATATACAAAAGCTTTTTTAAAAATTGTAATTTTCAGTACTGAACGATCCAGCAATTTGCCTTAAGGTATGATGCCATGCACCAGTAGTTTCTGCTGTCATTCTGGAAAGTAGAGGTTTTATTTAGTACCTCCTCGATTCATTTATTTTTTCTCTAGAATCCTTGTCTCTGA